TGTACTCTCCTCCGGATAATCTTGTGCAATCCCGCCATTGGTGTCATCCTCATTTATCATGCCTACGCGACCCCTATTCGCCGATCGAAGTCCTCTACAAGTTCGCTCATAATGTCCAGTTTTCTTGCAAAATTGCAGGTTGCATTTCTTGCTGGGCACTTTGGAATGTGATCCGGGGTAAAACCACTCTGGTCGCAATTGTAGCACTTGCGATCTGCTGCTCCTCCGCGGCCCCTTGTGCCGCCCCTGCCAAATCCACGTCCGCCTCTTTGGAATGGTCGGCGGTAACCTCCTCTGATTGCGCTTATAGGCTCCGCTTTAATTTGTAGTGAGCCCGCTGGTGCCGCGGTAAGTCCCCCACCGGATACTTTATACGACTTTGCGTATTTGTCTCCCCGTTCATATGACAAAGCAATCCGGTAGACCTCATCTGGTGTCTTAGTTGAACGACATAGCTCCGTTTGAGCCTCTTTGTTGGACATATTGACTATGAATACGTCACGTAACACCCGTCGTTCCAATGCTCCCAATGAGCATCTAGCGGCCAGTCCACTCAAAACGGAGTGAAATTCTTCTAGCGTTTCCCCGTCACGTTGTTTTCGAGATAGTAGCTGATACGCCTCGAATGTTTCGTTTCTTTCCTTCCGGAAGACACTCTCAAATTCATCCAAAACCCGTGGATATCGGGTAGTCGCCAGGTCCAAATGGGGTTTCCGGTTATGTAGTTCGTCCTGTCCACGTTCCCCCAAACACAAGTAGAGGTTAGAAATTAGTGTCTGCTCTGCTTCCAATCGATTTTTCCCATTCACCTCCTCTGACAGACCTGTAATTTGCGCCGCGGTTAGTGTATCATCAAAATAAAATGCCGTCGGATTGAATGAATGTTTTGCTATTACACCCCAGGTAAATCGTGTAATCCAATGCTCCCACAACATTGGTGCTTCCGTACATTTACTCGGCCAAAATGCCGTAATCCCCAGTGGATTTTTCCCTGATCCCGCGCTTTGTCCTGCTTGCTGCGCCATGTGAAAAATGCAAACTCAATATCGTAAATTCACTGAATTTAGACTGACTCGTTTTATCTTTAAAGGTTAACAACAATGACTCAAAACATCGCAGACTAAACTTAAGGTTGGCATGTATTAATTATTTGGTAGCCGCACCAAACACATAGCTAAACCAATGGCGCCAACACGTAATATATAGTTAGATACTAGGAATACTATATATGACAAAAGTTTCTATTAAAAATTAAAAATTCGAAGTTTGGTTGTTATTGCAACATGTTCAAGAAGATTAGTAGTTACTAAAAAATGGCGAAGATAAGTTTGTATAGAATTAACTTGCAAATTTCGATTAACGAGCGTTAAAAAGGGAAAAACGCGTTCGCATTTTTTGTTACAATACGAAGCCCAAAAAATCCTTTCTTATCAGAAAAAAAAGAGCTACGTTTCTGCTGAGAATATCAAAAATGACATTAGCAGTAAAATCGGAAAACAATAATTTAAAATTTAACTTCCACAATGTGTTTTTTAGCTGAGTGTTTTACCATGTTGAGTTGTTTTGCTTTCAGAAAACTTTTTTATCATCTTCTATAAGATGAAAAAAGTCTGTAATACCGTCCCTTCAAATAACGACTGTTGTTGAACATTTCGATTGTTGTCTTTGGTTGCTTTTCCGAACGTTTTGACCTTAAAATCGAGTTTTTTTCTCCCGTTTTTTCCGTACCAAAGGGCTGACCCCCCTGCTCCCCCCTAAATCCGCCCCTGCTGCGACCTGATATATGTACAATCCGACATTCATCATCATGGTCTTCAGCTGTCAACTATTTAGATGCAGCTCATCAAAGTTTTTGTCAGCGGAGCCGAAGTATTATTACAACCGGGATTGCGGACTAGACACTTTGTCGTGAGGGGTTTTGATCAAAAGCATGATGCTTTCAGTTCTCTCAGTTTTCAGTTTTGGCATCACCGGGGAACATCTGCGGAAAATTTCAATTGAAAAAAATGGCAGATTTTGGAGGTTCTACATCTGTCAGATGTAAGAACTGAAAGCGTAATTTATTTGACCAAAAATTGGGGAGCTCCGATCTTTCGGATACTCTTTCAAATTGATGCTAATCAAAAATTGTCGTAATATTTGAATTTTTGAACCTCTGTGACTTTTAATATGGTCTCTATAGCTGTTAGACTTAAATATGTTATTTGTTATGTATGTCATTTTGAATTTTTTCATGCTACAGCAGGTCTGCGTAATAAAACAAATGGTCTGTTTTCTAAAAATAACCAGATGACAAAACTCAGTAACAGCCGTAAAATCTATTTGTCTGCGTTTAGAAGTACTTTTTTGAGTAAACCGAATGACTGTCGACAGAAGAAACATGTTTAACAGCTGAAGCTGATTTTTCTTTGTTTTAAAGAAAATTGAGTTGAACTATCGATTAAATTAGAACTGTATAGATTTTATTCGCTCTATTTTTCTTGTCAAAAAAGCTGGAAAAACCACCCAACGCATACTATTTGATTGATCACTACTTCCTTGGCGGTTTTTGGTGATTATAATAGTTTGAACGTAATTTCAAACAAACGACTGCATAAATTACGGGCTGCAAATTGAGCGGTTTTGGAGCAAATCGAAATGTCATGGGGTTTCTTGCACAATGGGAATTTGTGGATCGATCGGTTCAACCAGGTCCAAACTATAGATTACAATGTTGTGATGGCCGTGAAGTTCATTTTCAATTCAGGACTCAAAAGTTGAAATTTTTGCAATTTTATTTGCTTTTTCCTGTGCATTGACCGTTTGATCGCAAATGTTAACCTTAAGTTGTACATTGATTTTTCAGCTAAAACGAATAAAAATCAGAGTAATTCATCTTGACTTTTGTTTTAAGCGGCATTAATTTGATTATCATAACATTGTAATCCATGGTGCAGGTGAAATATGGCAACGATTCTGAGGAAATTAAAGATTGTATCGATGGAATGAAGAAAAGTATTGAGAGTTTGGAGGCGAAGGGGAGGGACATAGTGCGTAAGGGTGATATGTTGGCATTTGAACTGTACCAGGACAAAATTTCTTCCTGGAACAGAGCACTCGGTGAAATGCAGAGCTGGACAGGTTAGTAATAAGAACAACAGTCTAAACACTTGCAAAAAAGACAACAATATTGCGATTTTTGAATTTGTTAATGAGTTTTTCAAACAAATTTCAAATCAAGCAACTTTTTAATTCCCTCTTAACTTGCAAAGTTATAGATTTTCCTTTGGCTTCACTTTATAATTTGATATGATTTGAATCTAATTAGGCAAAAAATTGGAACATCCCCTCTAATTTAGTTTAAGGGGTATGCAGTTCATTTGGTCGATAGAAGAAAATGTTTTAAAT